AGGAGAGCCGAGCGAGGAGGAAGAGGAGGCAAGAGGCAGAAGGACGGAGGAGGGGAGGGAGGAAGGAGGAGAGGAGGAAGGAGAGGAGAGAGGAAGAGGAGCCGAGGTGCGAGAAGGAGCGAGGCAGGAGGAGAAGGAGGCCAGGAGAGAGCGTGGAGCGAGGTGGCACGGAGAAGGAATGGCAGCGAGGCAGAAGGAGGCAGGAGGAGCGCTGGCAGGAGGAGCCAGAAGCGAAGGGAGGAGAGGAGGAGGAGGAGGTGCCGAGCCGAGGAGAAAGGCAGGAGCAGGAGGGGGTCGGAGAAGAGGAGGAGGAGGAGTGAGGCAGAGAGAAGGAAGAAGGAGCGTGAGGAGGAGCGTGGAGGAGCGAGAGGAGCGAGGAGCCGGGAGAAGGCAGGAGCGAGGGAGCGAGGTGGTGAGAGAGCGCAGGAGAGGAGAAGGAGAAGAGGCAGGAGAAGCTGGGCTCGCGAACTCCTGCCGCGCAGGAAGCAGAAGGAAGAGAAGGATGATGCGGTGGTGGACTTGGAACTCTCTGTTAAGCAACAATCTTTGCTACTTTTCCCTGTAAATCCCCATTTTATTATTCCCCCGTTTAAATTAATAACTTTAATAATTACATAATGATTAAACAAATTACACGAGTTAGTCCAGCATCCATTATTTGCCCAATGAACGACAGAGAAGATCTAATCAGCTTACGGCAGTTAGTTAAGGCAATATCCCTATTACCAAGAGTAGATAATAACACACATGTGTTATTACCTACTCTTGCTATTACTCTACAACCCTTTGTTTGTTGTTTTATTGCTTTGTTATTATTATGGATTGGGGTTGTCACGAATCGCTCCACGAAGAACAGACAACACAATGGGATCTTGACTGTATTATGTTACACAACACACACACGCCCACGCACGCCACACGCACACACACACACATGCAAGCACGCACGGGCACGCACACACACACACGCATGGCGCGCCACACACACACACGCACACGTACGCAAGCACGCACGCCACCGCACACACAAACACACACGCGCGCGCCGCACACACACACACGCCACGCAAGCACACGGCACTCACGCCACGCCACACACAAACACACACACACGCGCGCCGCACACCACACACGCACACGCACGCCAGCACACGCGCACGCACACGCACGCCACACACACACAACACACATACACACACGCTCATATGTGCCACCAGCCTAAAGCAAGCTCACCACGCAGCTTATATTGCGCTGCACAAGAGTTTACTGCGCGCGCATAATCATTGCCCGTGCAAACGCGCAGGAATTTTACATGAACATCAAACCCAAGATCAGACTAAACCGCGCTGCAGCTGCATCGCACCACCGCTGACTCACACAGCTCTGAGACGTCTATATCTATCTATATGTTTATTATCTTTGCCAGCTGTTCCCTCCAACACTAGGTGTCGTTGTCGTTCAGTATTGGCACAAACACGAAGGGGGACGCAAAGTAGAGAAGAAATCTGGATGTAGACTGTAGGTATTTGTATGTACAGTAGTAGTTGGTGCTGTGGTAGGGCAAGGCAGGCATGTGCAGGACAGATAAGCTTGCTTAGCACGCGCTAATACACGCCCGGCAAAGTTTACTATAGACTCTGTGCTACAAGCCTAATCGCCTGCATGCCGTCAACAAAAACATAAACACAACACAAGCACCCCGCTATGTACACTGCCCGCATGCCGTGCTAGCCGGCGTTCTATGTCTTCTTATTTTTAATTATCTATCTTCGCTCAACATTCATTCCCCTCTCTCGCCTCCCCTTATTCTTTCTTTCTCTCTCTCTCTCTCTCCCCCCTCTCTCGCTCCCCTTATCTTTCTCTCTCTCTCGCTCTCTCCTCTCTCTTCCCCCCCCCTCTCTCATCTCTCCCTCTCCTCCTCTCTTTCTCTCCTCCTCTACTCTCTTTCTCTCTCTCTCTCTCTCTCTCTCTCCCCCCTCTCTTCTCTCTCTCTCCGCGGCTTCCTCTTCTCTCTCTCTCGTCTCTCTCTCGCGCTCTCTCTTCGCTCCTCTTGCATCTCTCTCTCTCTCTCTTCTCTCTCTCTCTCTCTCTCCCCTCTCATCTCTCTCTCCTCTCTCTCTCTCTCTACTCTCTCTCTCTCTCTCTCTCTCTCTCGCTTTCACCTCTCCCCATCTCTCTCTTTCTATCTTTCCCTCTCCCTCCCCATCTGTCTTTTCTTTCATGCTTCAGTCCTTCCCGTGTCTGTCTCGCTACAGAATTCCATATAACAGGCATGAATATTTCTGCACCACGTACATTCATAGATCCGTGAAGGGTACGCCCATGACAGGAAGCCACAACTATCTGCTCCAGCACGTACACAAATCTAATTGCATACCTCTTCACTATTGATAGTCACTATTGCCATAGTCACTATCCCACTATTGATATTGATATTGAAAGTCCACTATTTGATAATTCGATATGATATTCTTACTTGATAGTCACTATTGATATTGAT